CCCCTCAAATGCTCACAGCAGTCAGGGGCAAGGAAGGACCCAGAACCTCAGCCTGGATCTTTCATGTGAGTGATAGTGACTCAATTGAGACAACATCTTCCACTACTAGAGTCTGCACTGGCAGAATGCTAGGTCAGGAGACAGACTCAGGAAAGGAATCCAGGATCTATAATTTGGGATATGGATGTCTTAACAGCTAGGCCAAATACTCATTCCTTAAAGTGCTTCTGTCTTCTCTCATATGTGTTTGCTTTTCAAATACTGGATATGCAATTTTCTGTAACACTTTTTCATCCCACAATAAAGGAAGCCCTTATCTACATGGTCATTGCTTTATTCCACTGAGTGGAATGTCACACTATCCACTTTAGGTGTTGCATTGTTGCTATCTGATGTTGGATCATTTTCAATTTCTGTTGTAAGACCTTTACATGATAGCTGTCATCTTCTGAGTGGCTCCTTAGGTTAGAGTCCCAGAAGTGGAATTCTCGGGGTCAAAGGACAGAAACATTTTTATGGCTTTGGATTACATTTTGAGAGAGTCTTAACTGTTTTACAAGACCACCTGGAATACACAACAGAAATAGCTTCAGGACCCTGTTGTCAATATTGAGGGTTTTTTTTTCACTTAAAAAGAGACTTAATACATGAAATAATACAGTTTAAATTTAAATTAATTAGGCTTCTGGTGAAGCTGAACATTTTGCTACATTCTTGTTTACTGATTGCATTTTCCAATTTATGAATTATACTTATGTTCTTAGTTTATTACTAGGCCTTAATATTTTCTTATTAATTAATATGATTATTTTAGATAATAAAGATATGTCATTGTAGCTACAGATAATTTTCCAACCTCTTGGTTTTTTTTTTCTAAACATACAAAAATGTTTTGTTCTTCTACATAGTCAAATCTGTCACTCGTTTCCTCGAGGGTTTCTATATTGTTTCTAAGCTTAGAAAAATCATTTTCATCCCTCCCTCCTGAGGCTTGATAAATGGTCAATTTCATTTTCGTTCAGATTTTTCCCAAGGTTTAAAAAAACAATAACTAATTCTGTAGCCTATAGCACTTATATGGATATAATCATATAACAGAAAAAAGACCTAAAAAGATATTTTTCAAAATGATAATGTAATTTAAATATAGTAGTCTGTGAAAATCCTAAAAGACCACATGTAAATTCATCACAAAGTGATGACATGTTCATCGTATCTTCCCTCTCCCCACTCCATCAGGTGCATCAATAAACAGTAATTTAGCCCCATCAGCATCCTAGGGTCACAGGCTGCTCTGCTCCCCCTGACTGTTCCATTTGCCCACAGTTTCAAACCCTCTCTTGCTTAGGCTTGCATCATCCTCTCGGATGATTGAGTCTTTGCTCCCTTGCACCAGCCAGGTTGGACTTTGGGAACCTCAGAGACAGGGACCTGCTCTCTGTTAAACCAACCCTCCAGCTTCCCTGGACTGTGGGAGTTTGTTTTTTGTTTTGTTTTTAGATTTATTTTTACTTGGAAGGCAGAATTACAGAGAGAAAAAGAAAGAAAGACATCTTTCATCGACCGGTCCACGTCCCAGATGACCTCAACAGGCAGATGGACCAATCTGAAGCCAGGAGCCTGGAGCCCTTTCCAAGTCTCCCACCTGGGTGCATGGGCTCAAGCACTTGAGCAATCCTCTACTGCTTTTCAAGGCCATAAACAAGAATTGTATTGGAAATGGAGCAGCCAGGACTCCAACTGGTGCCCATAAAGGATGCCAGAACTGTAGGCAGAAGCTTAACCTGCTATGTCACAGTGCCAGTCCCTGATCCATGCATTTGTGTGATGAAATCAGAAGCAAATAATAACCCTTTGACCTCATTAAGTGAACAGAGGCCACACTTTCCTTAGTACTGCAGTTGCATGCCTGACCATGTCCTTCCTCAATTATTTGCCAAGAAATCAGTAAAAGGACCAAATTCTTAAAAAGAAAAAAATTCAGCAAAAGACCATTCCTCAAGACAGAATTTCCCAGAATGAAGAGGGGCCTGGGGCTTAGCAGTTGTCCCCATTTCAAACAAAACCTGAAGAAATCATTTCATTGTTCCTGGTTGTGCTGCAGCTGAGCCATCCAGCAGGGTATCCATGTGGAAGCCCCAGAGAGCATACAGACGAGAGTTAGTGGCTCCCTGAGCCATCCCCTCTCACCCTGATCCCAAGCAATATTAGCAGGCACAGGGCCTGAGACCCAGTGCTGAGGCCCATACCTCCTCCAGGAAGATGGACAACAGGGCCACGAGACTAGGGCCAGGAGGATGCCAGGCCCCCGTGTCTAAACGAGGCAAGATCTCCGTGGGGTCTGCCAGAACAGTCGCCGTTTAGTTAAAAACTCTCTCCAAAAGAAAGAACGTTAGGTAGAGAGCTTGAAGTGGATCCCGAGTAATTAAGTGTATAAATTAATTCTTCCCCTAAGAAATGTTCCTCTCCTATTATTAGATTTGGCTCTCGGAGGAGCTGCATGCCAGGAGTGAGTTTCCAGTGGTGTGTGTATGAGCGCAAGTGCGTGTGTGCGTGAACACACTCTGTGCTTTGCTGCCTGGAGCCTGCAATTAAAATAAGTGACACAGATTGTGTCTTTAAAAGAGAGATGTGCGGAAAACGAAGGAAGTGTCTGTCAGGGCAAGAGAGAAAGATGAAATATGACTGCCCTCTGAACGGATGGCTAGGAACGTGCTTGCCTGGCCAAGGACCCAAAGGGATCAAGCCCAATGATAGCCTTCTCAACTGCTTAGCGCATAATGCATGTGTTGTTCTGAAGCTGGTAATGTGTTTTTTACTTCTTCCTATCTAGAAGGAATGAATCAAATATGAGGAGAACTGCAACACGATTTTCAACCCATTGCTTTTGATTAAGTGCCCGAACAGGCAGGTCCTGGGACTTGCAGTAATACTAATGGGGCATAAAGTGCTATAAAAAGAACAGGGCCCTACTTTTGTCCAAATGCCATTATCCTGGAATCAGAGATCCCAGCTGTAATATGTCCACGGTTAACCTTTTTTTTCTGACAGGAAATTTTCTCCATCCACTCACACCATCAATTATGCTGCATTTGACCAGAGTGGTGAGTGATCACTTTATTATATGAACAAGGCACCCAACCCAGGCTGCCACAGCTGAGTGGGACATTGGCTGCCAAGGGGCCTGGCCAGGAGAAGAGGAATGGCGAGAAAGGGTTGGCTCTGTTGCCTTTCAATGCACTTGGGCAAACTTGATACTTTATGGGAGATTGGTCTTGCTTTTTGTTTGTCTTTCTGATTGTTTGAAAATAGGAGCAATCACATAACAGAATGCCAAATAATGATTAGCTTGATTCTAAAAAAAGAGTTAATTGATTGAGATTTTGGGGGCTGGCCAGGAGGCTGATAGCTAGCTGCTAACCTGGTGGATGTGACTGGTAGAGTTAACCTCAATTGTTAGGATCTAGAACTGGAAGAACAGCAAAGACAACTGGCTTTGTCTTCTTGGCTGGTCCACCCAGGCAAGGCTATTTGGTCATTGCCCTTTAGGATCCAGGCCCAGGCTCCTGGGACAGCTCTTTCTAAGCATTGTACCCCCCTGACCTCCACTGGGTGCCTCTGTGATATTCCAAACTTTGCAATGATGTGGTTTTTTTTTGTTTTGTTTTTCCAATCAGCAAGTTGCAGATTGTCCAACTGTTCTGTCATTTATGGTAAATGGTTGCAAAAAGAAAAAAAAAACATAGAAAAGAAAAAAATTCCTTGATGCTATAGCATAGTCCTGAGTGTAAATCAAACATTCCTTGTCATGTTGATGGCTTGTGTTTGTCTAATGTATTTTATATTACTCAAAAGCTCTGAAACCCTGCAGCTTTCTTCATATAGGCCATTATGCGGTTATCATTAAATTGTCTTGCAAAGAACATTATCGGTAATTATAGCAGACACTAAAATCAAATGATCAGAGTGGGACCTTTCACACCAAGAGGAACCATTAGAAGTTAATCAAATAAAAGGATGAGAATAATTATGTTAGGATTAAGCAGTAATATGCCAGAAGTTATAGACTTGCCTGACTATATATCTTTACTCTCAGCTTCCTGAATTTTCTTTTCGTTGATGCGTTTTTATATAATACTTTGGCGCAGAATGTAAACGACAATATTTTTGTCACGGCACAATTGGGCTTGAAGGTTCATAGGCGGTTCATATCCAAATGCTGGCAGAGGCACGGAGGTAATTATGAAGATAAAAAATAATAGTAATCAAAAAAGTGCAAAGCTGGAAAAAAAATCTGTTGGTCAATGAAGCGTGGCTGAAGGGTAAGAACGGTAACAACAGGCACAGGTATATGGGAACCTGTTATTGGTGAATTGCTCTGCTTTGAAGAGGAAGCAGTTCTTCTGCAGGCTTTGCTGCAAGCCAGCAGCTGGCAGATTCTCAAGCTTTCTCTGCTAGAGCTGATGTGAGGGACCCTGGTGAGACAGGGACCCTCATGGGCCAGTCAAAGGGAGAGCTCAGTTTCTTGAGGTGCAGCGGGTCACTGCTGCTGCTGTACTGCCCTGATCCTTAAAACACACCCTCTGGCACCTTGCAGGTGTGTGTCTCCACACTGTAATGGGCTGGCAGGGCTGTGTGATCTAATTGGGGAGGATGCCTTCCTCAAGGCCTGGCCTCTCTTAGCTTCCAAATTAAACCTGAGTCCTGGGACCAGCAAAGCTAATGTGAATATCAAGGACTCAGAGATTCTCTGTAGCATAACTTATGGAAATCCCAGACCCTATGGAATTATACCATAAAATCCAAAATTTAAATGGATAGATAGATAGTTGATAAATAGATAGATACTTTGATAGATGGCAGGCATGTTCTTATAGGTTTCATCTCCACTTTCCAACCCACTTCCCTTATCAATAAAGAACAGTCTATAGTAAGAGGTTTGCTTTATGTGCTGTGGACTGGGATATATGGAAGATTAAGCCAAAAAAATGGGGGTGTGGTTGCTCGCTTCAGCAGCACATATACTAAAATTGGAACGATACAGAGAAGATTAGCATGGCCCCTGCATGAGGATGACATGCAAAAATGGGGGTGTGGAGGGATTGTCTACGTGACAGTGTTGCTATTACACCACACAAACACCAAGGCCAAGGCATTTCAGTAGTAGTGCTCAGCTTAATATGTCTCTATTTTAGTTTTCTGGGGGCTTTGTGATATTTAAACATGAGTATGTAATTCCATTTCTCATAGATCAAAACTGAGACACAGTAGAAATGGTGAAAGAGCTGGGGGCTGGGGAGCAGGATCCAGATGGGTTCCTCTGCTCCTCTCAGTGTGGTCCTACTCAGGTGGGGTGGAGGGCATTGGTTCCCATTGTCTTTTGCCCTGGATGAAGGTTGTGAGTAACCCCATCACAGACGATGAGTGTGAGAAAGGAAGGGGATTCAGAGTACGGCAGGGCTTACAAAGTCCAAAGTGGGTTCCAGGGCACAATTGGAGCTGCTCTTCTGGTAGAAATTGTCATTTATTGGCTCTGAGTGTTCTCAAATGATAAAAACTAGCTTCTATGGGGTCCTAGAATATGTCCATGTGGGAGACCTAGGTGAACCCCCTGGCTTCAAAATGGCTCTGTTCTGGTTATTGTGGTCATCTGGGGAGCGAACCAGCAGATGGAAGATTGAAATGCCTATCCCTCTGTACTTCTCTTTGTAACTGTGACTTCCAAATAGAGAAATAAATCCAGGGAGAGAGAGAGAGAGATCCCTCATTGGCGTGGACAGGGAAGATGGCATTCTTCCTCCTACCAAGACCACTTGGTCTAGTGAGATATCATAAGTTTAGTACCACAGGTCTAAGAGCTTATGTTTACCTGTAAGGAAGTTTGTTAACATTTTAAAAACAACCAAACCAACCAAACAAAAGTAAACAATCTTAGGGATTGGTTCTGGTTTTAGAACTCACAGTCATTGGCCCATGGGGAAGGGTCTTAGAACACTGACTGAGCCTTCCTTCTCAGATGGGTTGGCCTGAGAACTGAGAGACAGACACTAAATCAGACTGCAAGTTTATGGACTGAATAGACTGAAACTACACTGGTCCATGGGCTAGTTCCAGCCAATTACAATGCTGCCCACACTCCGAGCATCCAATCTGCTTAGAAGTTAGAGTCAGAACTGCCAGGCAAGAACCAGAAACCACACAGTTCCAGGGAAAACAGCAATCAGGGAGGTTAGCTGGATGCCACAGAATAGCTATATATAGGAGAGGGACAACTTGCCCTAGCACAAGTCTGAATGTCACTGTACTTTTGTCTATCTTGCATATGTTTATTGCCTGGCTTTGCTTTCTCACTAGCTAGCAAAGACATTCCCATTTCTGTGTTTGTTAAAGATGATGAAAGCATAGTGTCAAGGAAAATGGCACTCATGTCTGGAAAGAAAGAGAAAAAGAGAAAAGAAAGGAGGGGAGTCAAGTGAACCCCGCGATAGATTTGGAACAGATAGAAAACCCTGCTCATGGATTTAGTGTCATATCCGGGTGTGTGTCTTGGAACTTGGGTGAAAAACACTAATACCTTCTCTTCTTCCATTGAATCTCTGAAACTGAAGCCAGAATCAAAAGAGGTGATGATCGCCCAAAGCATGTAGCAAAACTCAGTAAAAGCTTGAAGGTCAACTGATCTGAGCAGAGAGCAGCTCAGCTTCCACAGAGACAGAGAGAGACTTCAGCTCTGCCTGGCAGATATAGTGATAAAGCCTTGCATGTATGTTATGTAGTCCTTACTTTGCACCTTCACTCAGTCAGGGATGGGTCGTTCTCAAAGTGACAGCTAATTTGCAACAAAGCAGAGGTAGAAGTTAACCTTTCTGACCTGACTATAACTACCACATCTCTTTTTTAATGTGCACACCCCTCCTGTCAGGGCCATGCTTTGGGGACACTCCAAATGGGGACTAGCTTGGGAGCTTGCCCTGAGTTTCAGGAGACTTCTCAAATATAACGCAGCCTCAAGCCCCGACCTTATGAAGAAGTCATAGCTATTGATCACAGAAGACAGAAGCAAACAACAGAAGACATTCAGAATTCCCCACATCTCTGGTTGTTTCCCAAGATTGATAGCAAGACAAAGTGTGAGTCTAGTTATAGCGTGAATGTGTCACCCTTCCTTGTAATATTTTCAAGGAGACAGCCCAGCACGAAGCCCAGCATAACTGCCCTGTGATTCAACAGTCTTACAGACAAGCAAGGTCTCTGGCAAATGTGGTCAAGCAATGTCATTCATGGGGATGCATTGAAGACGCTGGAAGACAGATTTTTCCACCCCTTCCCCAGGCTCCTTCTATTGAGCTCTTAAATTAGCTCAGCAAACTCAGGAGTCAGCCATCCCCTCCGGAACAACTCAGAGGAACCATTAAAAATGCCAAGAAGAAATGAATGCCTAAACCACCCTGTCTCTCCGAAGGTAGACTCTTGCCTAATCACACATCAAATCATTTATTTCTTTTCTTCCATAGATGGATGTCTTCCTTCAAAGCCCAATGGTAACAGAGGCAAACGTAGTGCTTCAGCATTAAGTAACCATCAGGATTTTGCCTTGGTGGATTATTTGCTAGAAGTAACTAATGTTTAAAAAAAAAATGCCCTGTCAGACAACAGCTTGCTCCATCTCTCCTCTCTCTCTTTTTGTAAGGGTAATATTTGGTTTCATCTTGCAACTACTTGAGAAAATTTAGCACTAAGTCAGAAAGGTTGGCCAACAAGTAGCACTTCATAAATTGCTGGAGACCTAATCAATACATATTGTCATCCACTCTAGTCCTTCAGGCAGATTTCTCTCTGCCCTGAGTCATTGGTGTATTTTATGAGGTTGTTACAGCCTGGGCTTGCATGGCCTGGGCCTAATGAACCTGTCACCACTGCTATTGATTGACATGCCAGTGTAAGTGAGACAGGCGATTCCGATTGACTTCCTAATTACTGCTGCTGGGCTGCCTCGCCAACTGCTCGGGCCAGAGGTTAATAGTACTGATGTTCAGCCGTTCCTAACTGTGAAGGCTGGAGTGAAGCTGGCTCCTTGAAAGTCAATACCTGAATCAAGTTCTCAAGGCTACTGCCGGGCCTGATCAATTAAAGCCTTCGCATTCCTCCTGGTGGTGGCTGACAAGAGTCTGACGAGTTCAAAGGTGAATGGTTGCAGGGAGTGAAGGAAAGCCCCGGCATGGTCAAGGATGGGCAATCCAGAGGGAAGGCGTTGCAGTAAAGAGTGCTGAGCAGGAGCACTTGGAACACTGCATCTGGGTACTGGCCACTGGCCGAGTATGGTTTGGCCTGTAGCTTTCAAGCCCAGGGAGTGAAAATGAAGCTTTTCTTTTGTTCCTCTAACATCCACAATTCTGCTCTTGGAGAGTTTGGATATCCCATCAGGCTGCCATAATAACAAACAAACAGCAAAAAAACGAAAAACAAAAAAAAAAAACCAGAAACCGGGGTGGCTTTTAAACAACAGCAACACATGTCACAGCTCCGAAGGTTGGGGTGACCATGATCAAGAAGAGGTACAGGCAGCTCTCCATGGCTTATTTGATAAGGGTACTCACCCCATTCATGAAGGTTCCACCCTCAAGACTTAATCAGCTGCCACAGGCTCCACTATCTACGATGCTAACACCATTACCTGGAGGATTAGGTTTCAACATGTAAATGGAAAGGGGATACAGGCATTCAGACCACAACAAAATGGAAAGGATGAGAAAATTTGCAGGGATGCACCCACTCAGCAGACACTGGAGGAGTGTTCAATTATGCCAAGAATTAGTGGGAGCTCACAGGTTTGGGGTCATCTTTCACTGGCACCATGTCTTAAACATTGGAAATGTTTTTGTACTCCTTGCTGAGTTGGAACCTCACAACCTACCGTGAAAGTGGGTATCACTAGCACTATTTTTGATGAGAAAAACAAAGCATTTCTAAGCCTGCTTACCTGGCCTTTCCCATAAAACCCACAAAACAAGTTCTTGTCCATGTTTTCTCAGCCCTCAGCTGTTTCTTGATTTCTTGTCCTTCCTTCCCCATATCAGACTTAAAATAAAACCCACATTTTAAAATGTCACCCCTTCCCATCCCTGCCACCTACATGGGGACTGTAAAGGGGCTCAGTGACCAAAAGGTTCTTTCAAGGAATGGAAGAAGGAATGAAATGGAACAGACTTTCTATGAACAGAAGTCACTCCTGCTCTGAGGAATTAATGCTTGATCTCACTCTGTCTTTTGCAAGTTATATCTTCAGTTATTCTCCCCAGCCTGGGGACTGCTATATCCCTGGAGGCCTCGTGCGCTAGTGGCATCCCAGCCCTGCGGGGAACTCTTCTCTGAACAGCAGGTTTGTTCTGCCCCCATTTTATTCCATATCTCTTGTACTCTCTTCCAGAGTACTCTTCACCTTAGACCAATCTACTGATAGTCAGCTTCCTTGTTCCAGGCCACCCACAAGGAGTCATGGCTAAGGTTCCCCAAGTTGGCTGGTGGAGGACTATTTACAGGCAGCCCTGAGTCCAAGGAAGGAAGCTTCCAGGCAACCCATAGGATGCAATATGCTCATCTGGGATTCTCAGACCTACAACATGGCTGTTATGCACTCATCTAACCCCCTCACACTAAATCCAATGAGGAAGTGGAACATGGGAGGGGATTTTGACTAAGACCATTGCTATAGCATTTGGTCTGGTCCAACAGGATATCTAATTCCTCCAAGGAATAGTTGCTCCTTCCCATTGCAGTAGGACATTTTAACATTTTATGGTAGGACTGTACCACAAAGTATGTATCCATCCTACTGCTGATGGACACTCGGGTTGTTTGCAGTGTTTGGCTGGTATACTGGGGAGTGTCATTGGGCATAATTGAGTTAACATCCTGAAGTGTTTTATCCAAGAATTGCGCAACTACGTGGCAACTTATGCACACCTTTGACTTCACAGTGTAAGTATTTAGTGATGGTCACTCATGCAGTTGCATTGAATTAAACAAGGATTCTTTTCCATCTTCAAGGCCTTCATTATGGCCACCAACAGTAACATCTGGATTTGTAGCTCAAACAGACCCTAGACTT